CAGGAATACTTTGAAATACTGAGATGTTATTGGAATATTCAAAGACAGCAGTGTGGCCAGGTCATATGGCTGCTAAAGGAACCCTAAACTTCACTCTATTATCAGTTTGAGGTGTTTGCGCTGATTTTCTTGCACATTTCTATTGTTGATGTTTCTGTTTGCTGTCATCGTACATTTCTACTTTACTCCCATCTTTCCAGAGATGTGTGGCTTATTTAGGGGCAAATAACACTCTCCGCCTTGGAAAAAAAGAAACAAAAATAACTTCCCCTTAAATATTTTGGAAAGAAGCAACAGGGTACGCTGTGTGAAGTGAATTTTGTTCCATTATTGTTGCAAGCCAAACATATTTTAGAATTTTTTTGTGTAATATAATCCAGAAATCAACATTTTAGGAAGCATTTTATTCAAAAAAGGTTTTGAGAGTGAATTTGCTACCCTTAAAATGTTAATATAAAAGAATATTCAAACTTTCTTTTTTTTTTTTCTACAGATTTATATTTTCATGTTCTTTTCAAATCTTTGATTTTCAGCTTGAGTTATAGAAATCAAATTTTTTGTTTTTCCTAGTTGTTTCCGGATAATATTCTCTTTGCTTTAAGCATGATACAATCTCTCACCCCGCACGTGCACATTGACTAATAAAATGTTGTTGCTAACGTCCAGAAGATGAATAGAAACAGACCTTTGCTCTTAACTCCAGAGGAAAGCCGTCCCCAGAAGTTAAGAGAATAAGATCTTGAAAACACAATTTTAAAAGAATTAAATTCATAAAACCTAATCTGAAAAACACAAAACATTGAAAATATTAAGAGCTGAAAAAAGTTGAAAAAAATATTTTATTTCTGCTTTTTATTTTTTCTGCTAATTTCCGTTTACAAAAAATTTGTTTGCAAAAATAATGGATCAAAATTCAATTCATAATCATGTATTAATTTAAAATGTCTTTTATTTTGAGTCTTAATGCATTTGAGACAATTTGCTTTGTAGTAAAACAAACAAGTATGTAATATATATATATATATATATATATATATATATATATATATATATATATATA